TTGTGTGAAGCGGTGCCTCGGAACCAGAAACGTGGGCGGACAGCAAAGGGCAGCGGGTTCAGGTTCTGTTTATTATGTCTCAAAGGCTTGTTTATAGTCAAGGTGAATGACAGGATTCGGCTTTGCACGGCAATGAAACCACTCAATGAGGACTCCATCAGCCAAGCGCTCTGGGTGGCAGGTGAGCTGCTGCTACTAGTGTGCACGCCGCGTGACTCAGCTAGTGCTACCGTGGTTGGGGAACACACCCAGGCCAGCCACCTTCTCTGCACCTGGTAGAGGGGAGGGAGCAGGAAGGGAATCAGAATAAAAAAAAAGGGGGTGGGCAGTTTATGGAGAGGTCTCGGTCCCCCGTCGGGAAGGCCAGTGTCCCCATCCTGCAGTCTCCCATGTGGTCCACAGCATCGAGCTGGAGTCCAAAGAAGCTCTGGGGACAGGAAGACATGTCTGCTCCTGCGTTCTTCCTCCAAGCCTCCTGCCTCGTGGCACAGGATCTTGATGCCAGGGGGACTCTGCCACCTCTCTTGCTTCCAGTCCGGGGAGACAGATTTTCAGAGGATTGACACCGGCCGATTCAAGGATAGCCGCAGGTGGAAAAGCATAATTCCTTGGCCTTGCTTGGATGTAGGCACAGACAGAGTAGGGAGGGTGCTGGGCACGCTTGTGGGTGGGAACCCTTCCTGCGTCTGAGAATGGGACTCACCCTCTCTCCCTTCTGGTTCATGGAGAAGCAGACCCCACTTTCCCCATTCATTTTCCCCTCCCCCTCCCCCTTGTCTTCCCAGTTCCTCCCTCCCCAGCTCTCAACACAAAGGGTTCATGCTCTCCCCTCATAGCCCAGGGCCTGCAGAGCCCAGACACTGGCGCTGCCTGTGGAGGAGTGGTGCCAGGGCCTACAGTCTGGGCAGGACACCGTCCACAGCTTCGGCTGATTCAGAGCCGCGAGCACCAGAGGGTGAAATCAACTAGGAAGCTTCTAGGTGCCCATCCTGCCTGACCCCAAAGAGGAAATGGTGAGGGCCCAGAGCAGGAACTGGAGCCCCACGGTGGCCTTGGCAAAGGAAGCCTCGGAGAGCTTGATCTCCCCAGGATGTGACGCCCTCCTGTGAAGGATCTGCAAGTGACTGTGCTCCTGCCATGAGGACGGCCACACACCTTCACCCGCTACCTGAGCCCCAACTACTGTGTCGCATGGCCTTGGGGACAGAGGCACAGACTAACATAAAACGGCCAAACGCAAGAGTGCATGGAAACAAACAGGGGGAACAGCCCGGGAGGCCAGCTTGGAGGAAGCACTGAGAACAAGACGTGGGGGGTGGGGGTGGGGGTGGGGGTGACAAAACCTCTTTTAACCAAGTTCCCCTCAACCCCCACTTTCGGCATATCTGCTGCCCAGCAACACATGGAGCTGGAGCAGAAACATGATATTTGTATCTCAAAGGAGCAAGGCAGACTGAAAGGGCACAGAGGCGGCCACCCAGCAGTCACCCTCAGGGCTGGCAGGTTCCTGGTCCCTGTGCTTATGTGCCTCTGGGGGGCCCCAGCTCTCTAGCCCACACTGTGGTGTTTCCCGCTCAGCTGTGTCCTCCTCACTTCTCAGGCCTATGCTTTAGCCTAAACTGTACATTGGAATCACCTGTGAAGCTTCACAAACTACTAATGCTTTGGGTCCCAGGGCCAGGCTGTTCTGGGGTGGGACCTGGACATTTGGTTTTTTTAAACTTCAGGAATTTGCAATGAGCAGCCAAGGGTGAGAGCCACCATCTTAGACCATCTCTCTTCTAAGTGTGGTTCACCACGCACCTAGGAGCTCATTAAAAATGCAGACTTCTGGGTCCCACCCTAGGTCTATTGGATCTGCATCTCTGGGTGTGGAACCTGGGAATTAGAACTTGTAACAGGCTTTCTGGGGTGGACAATTTCCTTGAAGCTCAAGTTTAATAATAAATACTGCCCGAGGGCCCTTCCTCACCTCAGAGGTGCCCTTGGCTGTGAATGGCTGTCACTCTGATCACTGGCTCTGTCTGTTTGCCAAGGGCAACAGAAAATTCCACACCAGCCCCAAACAGCTCGACATTCAAATGGGGTCCAAAGGCCACTCCAGTTGGAGAATGGTCCTGAAAGTCATACATTTGCCTAGCTCCCTGCCCGACTTGCCCTGGGCCTTCAAAGGTCCCAGGCACAGAGCAAGCCTGGAGCCCAAAAGGCAGTCAACTGCAGAAGCAAAAGGAAGACTTTAAATGGAAGAAGTGGTCCCTTTTGGGGGGCCCACCTAAGAAGGCGAGGCGATGAGGGCTTGTGGGAGAGGAAAGAGGACAGGCAGGATCGGGAGGTGGAAGGTTGGGGATGAGGTATGCTTGGATATTGCTCTAGATTTTGTAAACATTTCTCTTTGTTTTATCTCAGACCAAAATCTGGGTTGGCATCACCAAAGTGCCTGAAAGGAGGCATGAGAGCAGAGAGCTCTGTGCCATTTGTGGGAAGCAGGATGAACAGGTGTACAAACAGCTCCACCCCCACGGGAAGACCATCTCTGTGGTTACTAGTCTAATGCTCACAGTTCTCTCTCCCTAATTCTCCCCTCCCTTCCTCCCCACTCTCTCTTTCTCTCTCTCTCACGCACACACACTCCATGGGAGTACCATAAGCGTAGAGATCATGTTCCTCCACACATGCTCACATACTAGCGGCAACATTCAGGATACCCAAGCTTGGTCCTTCATGCCTCCCCGTCGTGGGAGGAAGTCACCAGGCACCATGACACCGCCATCTGTAGCCTTCATTCCACCAATGGTTGGCAAGATCTCTAGGGCTCCAACGAGGCCACCACACAACACTCTTGTTCAGACCTTTCTCCGGGGGTTAGTGGAAGTGGTAAAAAGGCCCCTCTTAGAACGTTTCGGATTTCCATAACGCCGTGCTGTTCCAATTTCTACGCACCTCATTTTCGACAGTAGAGTTGGCAGCAGATGTACATTTCGAATGTAAACAATGTTTAAAATACCCTGTTTGAGAATTTGATCATTACATTAATCCTGGCAGCGTTAGCTACGGATGGTTGTTGTTTTTTTTACCAGTGGGGGGCAAGGGAATACTTACTTCCTGATCTAACTAGGAACACCCACTTTTGAGGCTTCAGAGTTCTTGAACATGAAATTCCACTGGTGTCTCCCGTGTGAGAACTGTAGGCATGAGTGCTCTTTCTCCTCGGTGGTTCATACCGGCACACCAATCCTCGTGGATACGATGTGCCATGGCAGGGCAGTACCCAACACCAGTGGGACTCGAGAGCCTGCCTGACCTTGTCTAGCTGCAGCCAAGGAAGGAACAGATCCACACAGTTCTGGACAGGAATGGAAACACTGGAACCCCTGCCTGTCTGAAAAGGCCCATCACCCCACAGGAGGAGGCTGCTTCAGCCAGTTCTCAATCACCTGCGCTCCAGGGCCTACATCTAATCAGATGCTGTTCCATTTAGTCAAGCTAAAAGCTTTGGAGATCTGCCATGCCTCCCAATCCATCCACTTTGAATTGAACTCCCAGGAGTTCCTTTGCCACATTCTCTGTGATTCAGTTCACCCAGAGACCAGCCTCTTCCAGGGCCCTCTTCCAGTTTCTCGTCTCTCTGCTGAGGATTCATCTCCTTGGCACTGCAGTCTTGTACCAAAGTCAGCTGTTTCCTGGGCAGCTAGAGTAGGTTCCACGTGTCTCATTCTTTCCCTAAGTAAGAGTTTCTTGACATATTTTCAAGATCAGTCCCAGGGTACCATGAAAGCATTTTAGGAAGGTTCTCCACAACCTTCCTAAAATGTCACAGTGATCTTCTTTGCCTCGTGTTTAATCCCAAAAGGTCAAAAACAAAAAAGCTGCTGAATCGCCAAGGTGGCCCTCATGAGAAGGACCTTTCTAAGAAAGCGCGCTCCCAGGAAGCAAGCTGGGAAAGAGTTATGGCCTATGTTCCTATTTTCCCCATCATGATTACATGACCTGCATGGAAGGGGAGCGGGGGGAGACAGAGAGGGACAGGGAGAGCATTAGGCACCGTGAGAGCTGTCCATGCGATGGGAATTCGCCTCCCTTTGCCAAGCTGTCTGTCATTCTAAGAGATGGGTGATGTGTGATGCCACAGGGAAGCGAGGGCAGAGAGTACATTAAACAGCAGAAAGGTTATATGCTGCCCCACTGCGGAAAGGTCTACTGATGCTACATTTCCTGGCTGTTCAACTTCTGGAAAACTTCTTGGTAGAAGTTACGGAGATAGGCAAGCTGTATCTTTCTTAATTAGCAGCTCCGTATCAGAAGTGGGGAGGGACATCTCCCAAGACCCTTTCTGGAAGGGTCTTGCAAGGGTAGGGTAGTCTTGTGAATATCCTAGACTAAGATGGGCAGTGAGCACACTGGTGGTATGGAAATGGAAGAAACAGCCAACTCCATGGAGTTTGCCCCTTCTCCCAGGGGCCACCTATCAATGATAGTTCTAGAAACCTGGGATTTCACAGAGATCTCTCTCCGAAACTGTGAGGTCCCAGCACCCGGGACTGGCGGTTACACTGTGATAGCAAATCACAGGAGTGCGCCAGTCTTCTAACTCTTCCTCGCAGGGGTACAGGACAAGTTAGAGTGTCAGGAATCCTAACTGAGGAGAGGGTGGGAGGTACGGAGACTGCATTCTATTATTTACAGATGAGCCCAGCCTATGAATCTGCCTTCTCAGTGGAGATGACCCCAAGGCATTATGGAGGGCAAGTTGCTGACCCAGAGAAGGGTGAGTGCAGCGAGGTGCTACCACTAACCAAAACACAGATATGGGTAAATGAAATAGAATCCCAGTTCTGGTGACTGAATGACACTTAGGAATGGCCCTTCACCCCCTCCTCACCCCAGCCTCCCAGCCTAACCACCACCGCTCTTGGAACACCCCTGACATTTCACATTAGAATATGGTCTTGGCAGCAAGGGGCAGGGAAAGCCGGTGATCTCCAAGAGTCCCCATCTGAGGTCTAGCTGAGCCGCCTCTGGCTTTGGGACAGCAAATCTAAGTACATTTTGGACCTCAGGAACCTGGGGTAAGAGTCTTTTTCCATGAGGCTGTGTACTTTTCCCTGGGCTTGGTCAAAGCAAGTCAGGGATGGCTCTTGCATGTTCTTCCTTGTGGCCTCTCGAGTCTGGAAGTCTATGTTTACCTGGAGACACAAACAGACAGCATGGTCACGGGCTCTCCAGGGCCAAGGCGCCTGGCAGCTGGCCCTAATTATGTAATAATCAATGGCAGCAGCTGATAAGATGAAAGGCTAATCAGGCTTTTCAAACAGGTTTCATGGAGGTCATCCCTTTTGATTCTAAATAGAATCCTATGAGGTCTGAAGGCCATATAGTCTTCATCCCAGTTTATACATAAAAGAGATATTAAAAGGCTGTTCTAAAGTAATATGGAAAGTCAGTAACAAAGCCAAGGCAAAAGCCCAGTTCAATTACCTCTTAATCCAGAGGCCTTTGCAATGTTAGACAAAGGGTTAGACTAGAGACAAGTATTAATGCTGGTTCCCTAAAGTAAGCTTGCCCTCTTGTCCTTTCTTAACTACTATGAAAACAAATGCTCCAGGCAGAGAGACTGTGGTTAGAATGCACATCTCTGTTCCAAGCAGCATTATAAGAAGCCTACAGCATCCTGGCCTTCTGCAGCCCAAGTCAAAGCACAGCTGAAGAGTTCTAGGTATGTGATGCACCTAAACTCATTGACAGCAACCACTTTTCTTCTAAAAACCCTCCCAAGTAAAATTATCTTTTATATATCAAAATAGCAGTGCATTGAATTCATTTCCTTATAATTAATTATAAGAAGTTATGATAAAATCATATAAATGACTGTCATTAATAAGCATTGACAAATAATCAGTAGGTCCTTTATCCCTAATACCTACAGTAGGCTTGAAAGGAAGGTGATATTAGGTCCTTTAATATCCAGGGAAATGTGACTTAGAGAGGCTAGGTAACTTAACTGAGATCACACAGCTAGTAAGAGGTGGAGCTGAGATTGGAACAAGATTCCAAAGTGGATGCTCATTCCATTAACCAGTGTTTCCCAAAGTGTGGTATGCATACCCCCAGGGGTATGGGAAGAGTTTGGTGGGGGTACGCATTGCACCGGAGTTTGGTGGGGATATGCACTGCACCGTGCTTAGCTGCGCCTAATTCTACGTTCTCATGAGTACGAGGGGTACTAAGCGTTACGAAAATTATAGAAGGGGTACACATATGTAAGCCATGCTGCTTCCCACTAGGAAAACTCACATGGAGTCAGTGGTGTTTCACCTTGTCGAATCTCTAGAGAAACACAGTTCCCGCGGGCAATGTTTAACTGGCAGACAGCTAAAGCACTCCTACTAGACCTCCTTTGTACAAGCCCTTGGCTCTGCTCTTAAAATGATCTCTCCCCCCCCCCCCCCCCATTCATCAAGAGCCAGCTAGCTCAGTTCAAAAGAAAGTCCCCCGCATGCCTGGCTCAGACCCCCATGAGGAGGGAGGTCTGAGCCAGGAGCCCTGGATAGAGGCCTGACAAGAGCTTGCCACTGCCAACACACCTCCCTCGGAGCCTGCACATCCACAAACTCCTCAAAAATCCTATGCGCCTTGGAGACCAGTTTTGCAGTTGACCTGGTCTTCTTGAACTCCTCACAGGCCAACCAGAATTCCAGGTTCTCCTCGCTGAACTCCGTCTTCAAGAAGGCGAGAAACGCAGCCACCCCATCTGTGGATGTGGAGGGAGGTGGAAAGGAAGAGAGATAGGAAGAAGCTTAGGCATAAGGACTGCAGGAGGAAGGAAGAAAGAAAGGCAGTAATAATGTCAGAGTGGCCCTGACTAACCCCCACTGTGCCTCCATAACCTCTTGAAGACTTTCTGCTCTTGGACATGCAGATAGTCTCAGAGGCAATCGTGCTATTAAGGAGAAATGCTTAGGAAACCACAGTAATAATGACTGTGGGAAGGCCTGGTCACTTCCAATCAGCCGTCAGTGGTCACTGCCTGTCCCCTAATGCAGAGTCAGCTGCCCCCTGGGTCTACTGGTGAGCCTGTGTTTCTAATGAAGCTGAAGTAATGCATGTAATCCATTCCTTACCCTAATACAAGCCAACCACCCTGAAAAAAATCCAATCTATTATTAAATGAACTAGAGGAAGGTGTGAATACCTTAGGGCAATTCCTTCTCTGCGACCAGAGTCATGTCTGAAGGTGAACATACCCTGAAATTCAGCTGGTAATGTCCTTCTAGTACATGCACAGGGTTCCCAGCCTCCTTTAAAAAACCTCTGAGGCCATGTATTTTAATGGTTTACAACATAGTTCATTTATTTCAAAAGACCTTGCCTATCAAATTATGTGTTTTAATTAAGATTAATTATAGCCTTTGTTCTACATGACTTAATGAATATACCCTTTCGCTTTTATCCAAGCACAGCCTCCAATCAGAATAAGCGGTGCAGGATTACCACACAGATTTGGAGAAGAAAATAGCATTCGTTGATAGTCTATGAATTTCAGTTAATATGTTCATTTTAAATATTTTAATGAATTACTTCAACCTTACCACACTGTCCTTCAAATGAATAACAATGATAGCTTTCTGCAAGCTATCCTGCAGCAGCCTGGCTACTGACAGCCCAAAGACCTTCCCTCAGGGGAAGTGCAGAATAGTCACTGCACTAGTAAAAATGGCTCCCTTGCCCTAGCTGTCTTGGCTCAGTGGATAGAGCGTCAGCCCTGCGGACTGAAGGGTCCCAGGTTCGATTCCAGCCAAGGGCACATGTCTGGGTTGCAGGTTTGATCCCTAGTAGGGGGTGTGCAGAAGGCAGCCGATCAATGATTCTCTCTCGTCATTGATGTTTCTATCTCTCTCTTTCTCCCTTCCTCTCTGAAATCAATACAAGATAAAAGAAAAGAAAAAGGAAAGAAAAGAAAAAGGAAAGGAAAGAAAAGAAAAGAAAAGAGAAAATGGCTATAATGGTTTACTTCCTTTTTAAAATCCATTAGGAGGACAATATGTGAGCAGTTCTTCATTCTGAGGGATGGGATGCCCAGCTCGATGACTGAGGTCCACCAACACGCCCCAGAACAGTGCGCTGGATTATTTGATGGATTGGCGGTGCTACGCTGTTGATGTATTTGAATGTTTGCTTTTACTTTTCTGAAACATTTTTATGTCTCCTAATTAAAAGGCCACTATTTGTCTTTCAATATAGACTGATGCTACAACAATGGCCATAAAAAGCCAAGTCTTTTCATTGCAAGAGCCCCCAACGTGAGAGAGAAAAGGACTCCCAGAGCTAAATTTGAAATCATAAATAAATCTAAATTTGGAGGCATGAGCTGAGACTAGAAGTGGTCATGAACTCATCATGCAAGCCAACACATTTCTGAGAGTAAAGGGGAGTACTTCTGCTACTCACATAGGGAGACTGGGCATAAACCATGACCCCCACAGGCAAAAAAAACACTACAGGACTTCTAGTCACCTTATCTCTTCGACATAGAAAATGGAGAAAGCAGAAAATGATGTAAGCTTGTTTTCTCTTTAGAAAGGATGGAAATAAGTTTGTTCCTGTGTGTGGGGGGGGGGGGGGGAGGGAGGGGAAGGAGGAGAAGAGTAACATAGTCTAGACTCAAATAAGAGCACTGCTCTGGATCCCACCCAACCTCATTCCTACATCAGTTTGAAACCCTGAGAAGAGGGATTAGAAACCCCAGGTAAATTGAGCATCAAAGGGACCGTGAAACAGTGGCCTGGCAGTGGTTAGGCAGAGAGGTGGCCTGAGAATCATTCACTCAACTCAACAAAATATTTCAAAACTACTATTGTACAACTACATACTGTGTGAAGTCTTGTGATACCTCAGAAACAAATTTAAAAATCTCTGCCCATAAGATCCCTTGAGATGCTCTCTTTGCTACCTGCAGCTCCTCCAAGTTCTCGCAGTGGAGGTCCAGAAGCATCCACAGGCTCCAAAGAACTCAAACTTGAGAGCTAGACCGCCTGCCAGGAGAGGGCCACCACTCTGAGGCCACAGGCAGAGCCACCACTCTGAGGCCACAGGCAGAGCCACCACTCAGAGGCCACAGCTCGATTAAAACCCAGCTGGAGCTGTGGAAGCCTCTGAGGAGACAGTGCCCAAGACAGCCGAGGTGGCCTCGGAGTGGGACCGGTGCACACGTGACAAGAGCCATGGACACTCTCAGGGAGGACCTGCTGCCTCTCCATGGCAGTCAGAGAGTGGAAAGGAGAGGCTGGGGGGAGGGCCCTAAAACACGATGCATTTATCTAACAGAGCTAATGCAAAGTGACTTAGAGGAGGGACGTGGGAGAGCCTGTTGGGAAAGCTCAAGTTTATTGTTTGCGTTAGATTTTGTTTTGCTTCTCATCAAACAAAAACGGGTGTTTGTGGGCAAGCCAAGCTTAGGTACAGAGAAAGAAAGAAAATTACCATCCTGCCTCCATCGACAGGATTGGGTGACGATAACCCAGCTAAGGAAACTGGCCTTATGCTCCGTCAAGTACAGACGTTATCTCTTTTCCTCTAAGCCTCAGCTTTCTTGGGTCTTTGGGTGAATTAAAGAGAGAACACCTGCAATGTGCTCTCAGGGACGTTGCTTTGCTCCTTTCCATCGTGTGGGTGAGGAAACTGGCACCTAGAGAATTGACTTGCACAGAGAGAAGCTTCAGCGAGCCATGGACATGAGAAGGGTGGAAAGCCTCCGAGGCTGTGGGATCCTGGCCACTTCCCCAGAGCAGAAGGCCTCAGAGGGCTTCTGAGTACAGACTGCTGGTCCCCCACCTCGCCCACCTTTCCTGCTTATGTCCCCCAGCAAAGGGATTGTAGGGAAACAGAGCCAGAAGGGGTTGTTCTTCCCACCTGCATCCTTCCTTCCCCTCTACCACTTCCCATAGCTTCTCAGCAAGGTTTTCCTCTGGTCTTCTCCCTGACCCCTCAGCATCTTTTCCTGTCCCATTTCTTTTCCTTCTGTCCTCTGTCCCTTTCACTGTTTTTCCCCCCATCATTCCCTTTCTCTCCACAAAGACCCCTTCTGCTTGCCCAGGCACTGCAATTGGTTTAAAATGCAGGATGCTGGTTTATCTCGGAAAGGCTCATGGGCATGTATAGGCACATCTCGGTGTGACCTGCATTGTGTACTAGCTAGTGTGACTTTGGGCAAGATGCTAGCCTCTCTGGGCCTCAGTTCTTTCATCAGTGAAATGCAGACCCTAACCCTGGCTAGTGTGTTTCAGTTGATAGGGCATCATCCTGTGCACCAGGAGGTTGTTGGTTCGATTCCCAGTCAAGGGCACATGCTGGGTTGAAGACTGGACCCCTGGTAGGGGACCTGCAGGAGGCAGCACATCAATGTTTCTGTCTCTCCTTTTCCCTCCCTCTCTCTCTCTAAAAATCAATAAATAAAGAATTTTTAAAAATGCAGACCTTAACATCACTGTCCCAGGGGACTGTGGGGATGATCACATGTAATAGATGTAATACATGTGAGCAGCATACAGAGCCTGACACTCAGATCATAAATGTTCCCTCCATATTTGTGATCATTATGCCTGCATTAAGGCACCATCACACAGAACACAACATGCCTAATACCAGGACATAATCCTAGTTAATTAAAGGGGTTGGGTGGTGAACAGTTCAAGAGAGAAACATGAGGATCTGCCTTCCCCCCCTCCCCACTTCCCTTTGGTTTTCTTTGTAGGGTCCTCTAAGAAGCCCAGGCTCTAAGAACATCACACATTTTTTGAGATCGGTGTCTAAGGCTCCTGTCCAGGATTCCTGGAACACTGAGCAGAATATTGGCATCCTCCGGAGCAGGCACAGGCTCTCCAAGAACACAGCCCGTGGCCGCACACGCTGCCTGCTGCCGGCCTACTCTCCCTGGTTATTCGATGCGGGATGCTTACATAAGAAGGGAAACTGGGTCGCTGTGAATGAGTGGTGCAGCTGGTGCAGCAGGGAGGTTGGCTTGGGTAACGGTTCAAGGTCCAGGAGTCCTGAGTGAGCTGGCATCGGGGGGTAGGCTTAAGCCTAGCTCGGTTCCCAGGCCTGGAAAATTACAAGATCACAAGCAACTTATTTTTTTATTTTTTTTATTTTTGGTTGAGCTCTTTGTTTACCAAAGGGCAGTCTCAAAGACCAGAGTCCTCTCGCATCCCTGATCAATTGGAAAAAATAAACTGGCGAGTGGGTTCCAAGGTCAGGCCGAGAATAGGAGAGGAAAACACATTTATTTATAAAATCCAAGATACATGTACTAATGGTGAAGTCAAAACCACTTTCATCCCAGACCAAGTTCTCTAATTTGAAATTTGTGATAAGAATAGCATCCCACGTGTTTGTTTTTAAACAGATAACTAGAGCTAAACAAGATTTAGGTAAGGGCATTATGTCAAGGGCAAACTATTTCCAGTTACTGCCATTTATTAGCAAACGATTGGTATGCTAATTGCACTTCAGGCTTGTGAGTAACATTTCCTTCAATGATCTCTACTGTGTTAGGGTATATATAGCAAGGTGACATATTATAATAGTAATAGGACATGATGGTTGTTAGAACCTTAAGCCAGAAAGGACATGAGAGATTCTAAGACCAGGCCTTACGCTGGACACAAGGAGATGGCGAAGCTCTGAGGTCGCATGGGCCCTTATTCCTAGACTGTAGTAGCAGAAGAGTAAGAACAACCTGGGCCTTACAACTCC